CGTCCACAGCAATAAATCAAAACTTTCTTTTTTATTGCCTTTGTATTGGGGGTTTATCTAAAGGAGGAAGAATAAAGCATATGTTTGTTGAGATGAAAATGATCTCTGCAGTGAAGCACATGGCACTCCTTGGATTTTCTGCAGACTTCTGAACTGTCAGGAGATGAACAGGCTGCTCTGGAAGTGAAAACTGTAAAGATCCTTCATCTCCTATCCTGGAGGTTTGCCACCACCTACCTTTACCTACAGTTTGGTTTTGTCTGCTAATTGAATGGAAAAAACATGAGCTAGGATTAATAGTCGTTTCACCTGAAAGTGTAACAGCTCAGCATCCCCCTCTTTTCTGATTTTTTTTTATTGTTTTCCAGTTATGTTCTCAACTCAGAATGTGGTAGTTTCTTTTTCTTTTGTTTGTTTTGTGTTCAAGTAGACATAGTTCCATCACTGTTGTTTTATAGACATTCTGAACTATGATATTAAAAGAGACTGATGGACACAGCAAAGACGAGATCAATTTACCAATTTTCGCAAAAAAGTTTTTTTTATTTTATTTTTTTTGTAAAAGAATGTATTCCCACAGCGTGATGCTGCCACCGTCATGGTTTAGTGTGGTTTAGTGAAGGGTTCAGGTTAATTTTCTCTACACACTGTGCTTTGCAGCTAGGCTAACTGTGTCTTCTGCATGTGTGGTAAACAGAATTCTTACCACGTTGTTTCAGCAGAGAGTTTCTTCTACCTGTTTTCAATGAATGCCTGATTCTCCAACCTGATCTGTGCGTCTGTATTTCAGTATTTCAAGATTACACAAAGGTGGACTCTGTGTAACCAGATTGCTTTTATTTAGGGTATCAGAGTTAACATACCTATTTTCAAAATAAAACACCATAATCTTCTTCTGCTGCAGTTATAGATATGTATTTACTAGTTTGCTGCACTTTCACCTATTTTACTACATGTATGTAAGAGAAAAGACAATTAGAAGAAATTTATTAATACAATTACTTTGTCTTTGGCGCTCAGACCTCAGCAGGAAGGATAGCGTTTAATTTTGATACATATGCATGAACAGGAGCAAAGAATACGGCTGTTTCCCCCAGGCCTGAAACTGGTGGTGGAGTGGAAATAGATGAAGTTGGTCAATCTGTAGACTGCTGGTTAGTGAGATGGAATGCTGAGCTTTATGGGGGGATCCACTGGACTATACTGGACACTGAGTTTCACTCAGGGACCTGGAAGATGGAAGTCCAGTTGGATAACACAGGTTGAGAGAACCAGTCCATGATGAGCAAGCATGAAGTGACAGTGGAGAAGAAAAACTCCCCTTTGGGAAGAAACCTCTGGCAGAACCAGGCTTAACATAGTGCTCTACTGGTCTTCAAAAAGCTCATAGCTTATAGCTGAATGACTGAGACTGAAACTATGCAAAATGCCCACAGATAATCAAAGTGCAACTTATGGCCAAGTTTCTTTTCCCTGAAATTCACAACAAACAGAGCATCTGTGAAAGATGCACAACTGCTGAAAGCCAAGAAAATGCTGAATCCATCAATGCAGTGAATCTTGTTCTATTGTTGCAAAGAACATATTTTGTCGATTGGAATAAAAGAAAATGCATACAAGAAATAAAACTTTCATTAGCGTTTTAATAAAAAAAGATTTTGAGTGTAACATTGACATATTTTTCAGATTTAGCTTTTTGATTAATTTGTTAAAAACATTTTTTGAAAAAATAGAATAATTATAGATTTTATATTTTCACTGTTTTAAGAAACAATTAAAAAACATTAATTGTTTAGATTAAAAAAAAATCTTGATTTTAACTCCTCATAGTAAACAAATAAGTTATTGATTGCAACCATACTTCGATACCCAATCAGTTACAATGCATATTGATGGAATAGAAAAACTTCAGCGATAAATATTTGACGTATTAATTATTGTAAAAACCAGCAAAAACTAATAAAGTCTTTGTCAGTTTCTGAAGATTTTTTGTTAATAACTACTTTTGCAAAGCAAAGTTTTAAAATTTTATATCCTAAAGACAAATAAGGAACTAGAGATTACTAATATTGCTGTTTTAAATTTAGATTGAGTTTTATGAATTACATTCTTTTCAAATTACATTCTATAGCTCACAGGCTCTGCATTCCTGGGGGCGGGGCTTTCCACTGGAGTAAGGAGGAAAGACTCATTTCTATTGGTCTGCTGTACATTAGCAACAGCATCGCATTGGACAACATGTGCATCAAGAAGTGTTTGTATTGGGCTTGAAGTGAAAAAAATGTGATCTGTGAAATGCTTCCTTCCATAGTTCAAAAAAAGACATTTGAAAAAAAAAAGGATTGAAATATAAAATCTGTAAAAAAAATAATAATAAAATAGAATTCTTTAATATGAATATTACAATTGGAAAAAAATAAATATTTGGAATAACTGGATTTCATTTTTATTATTATTTTCATTTACTAAATGTGTTCTTTGCTTGCAGAAATATTGGAACAAAATTCACTCCATATAATGTCCAGCTCATTTGCTCTCCACTTTGATTCCTTTCACTAAGAACACAGAGGTTATAACTTCAATTACTGACTGTCTGACACCTCACTGGCTATAGGTGTCACTCTGAAGTTTTAGTCTCTATTTAATGTGTTTATTTCCTACTTTACAGTGAAAGAAGGTGGAATTTATTTTAGGGGAAATATAGCTTAACTCGGGCACAGAATAATTTACTCTAAAATTTTCCCTCCCTCAATCATCCTCCTCCTAGATTAATATTGTAGGCAATGTGCAAGTTCAGAAATACCTCAAAAAATATGATGTGCATTTTTTGTAAAATAGATCCAAGGCCTTAAAAGTTTTTTATTATTACTCTAAGCACCAGAACCTGCACATAGTTCTATATTTTGTCTTTGTGATTATATCATTTTAACATATTACATCAGATTTAAACAGCACTACTCTATTATTCCCTCACTGTATATTTGCACGTTGCTTCTTCTGTTCTGTCTGCAGAATTTCACACTGACTGCTGTTTGAGTACATATGTTACTGGAGTCAGACTGAGTTTGTTAAGTGAGCTTTTAAATATTCTGCCAACATCTGCTACTTTTGAACGTAGGAGCCCCAGACTATCATGAGACCATATCCTAGTGAAAGAATGCCTGCAGACTGAAGAATCCTTAGAGCTCCCATCTATTTCCATCCCCCCTTGATCCACCGGCTGCCCAGTCCGATCCACAGCCTTTCTAATTTGGTGATGAGCTGTAAAGTGACCCTTCTGCCCCCGGCTGGAACAGGAGTGGGATTCCAGGGACCTACGACACCATAGACGGCGCAGAGCCCGGCCTTGTCGCTCCCTCCTGGTCCCACAGGGAGGCCAAGGCACCTGCTCTCAAGGGCACCCCAACATTATCCCTCCACACCGGCCCAACTTATGGGTAAGGTGAGATGCCAGGAATAATTGATGACGATGTCAACGGCGCTGTCTTGTTTGGGCAGAGCAGCAGATGATTCCTCAACCTCCTGCAGTGGTTTTACTGTCCTGGCAACTGCATTAGCACTAATTGGTTTGAAGTCAGCTTTTGTCATTGGGTGCTCATGTTTTTTTTATTCCTTTTCAGCTCATTAGTGTATTGATTTTATGTTTCTCTGTTACTCAGACCTTTGCTGTAGATGTTTTCACTTTCAAACTCCCTGTTTTCTATTCTCTTTCCTGTTCAACCACCTGCACTCTTTATTGTTTCATTTTTTTTTGGGAGGGGTGGGGTTCAGGGGGATTGACTGACTCTAATCCAAGTCCACAGAAGAGGTTTAAAACACTCTGGTTTCAGCTAATCTTCCAGCTCAGACCTAGCCGGGCATGAAAGTTGCTTTTTTCCATGATCGGAATGGACAAATAAAGGTCTTTCCCAGCCCTCCTATGAAAGAAGTCTGTGTGCTCGGTGGATTAGAGCCCAGTGTTTTCTGTCTCTGCTTCACAATTAGATTGAAATAGATGACTCTTCAGTCTGTTGGGTTTATTGCAACAAGTTTTTAGTAAACTATACAATCAGATATGTTGTCATATCAGCATTTACCAAAGATGATTTTTTAAAAGAAAACTCTCATATGTATTCCTAAAATGTATTTGTAAATTTGTGAAAAAATAGTTTTCTGTTATCCTTATGCATTCAACAGTCTATCGAAACACCATTGCCTTTATATCTTTATAAAATGTGTTTCAGTTTGCTTATTTACTTCTCTCCCCTAAATGTTATAATCAACTATCTCAACAGCTAGTGATATAGTAATGTCACTGATAATTATCTGTAAAAGTTTTACAACAATTTCTGCTGTTGTTCAACCTGCAGGCCTTCTTGGAAATGTCTTTTAAGATGAGCATATACAGACTTGTAGTTTTGTCAGATCATCTTTGAATAATTTTTCAAAGTATAAGCCTTGGTGTGTAAGGAATAGGCACAAAACTTTAATAAATTGGGTTTTATGTATAAAATGTATGTAAAACTATAGATAGTTTTAATAATTCTTCTTTTTGTAGCAACTGAGAACAACTTTGATACACAATAAATTGTAGGTATTCACCCTTACCTCTTCAAACTATATACATTACCCACTGTAACTAAAGTATCAACGTTAATAAATATGGCAGTGTTTATTCTGAGTTTTATTATTTTGTAATTGATTTTATTTGAATATTTTTTTATTAGTAGCACAGATTTTTTTTCTTACAAAATTTTATATTTTGATAATATATTTTTTTAGATTACATCAGATGTTAATCAGCACTAAAGTAAACTTTTGTTTTGCCCTTTCTAAAGTAGCTCCTTTGATCACCAATTTTCTCTTTTACTTGGGTTAAAATATGGTTAAGTAATGCTACTCTTACTAAAGTGCAAATTTTAGGGTACTTTACCCACCTCTAATCAGACGTACAAATATCTAATTTTGAATTCGTCTGACAAAAGAAACGGGGAGCGAGGTAGTGAATGGAATTCTGTTCAGGCATTTACATGGGCAACTCATCCTCTGGAGGGGTCCTTGAAGTTGAGTTTCCCTGGCAACTGTTGACAGCGGCCGCAGTCCTCGAGACCTGGTAGTGCTTTTTCTAAACATTTGATGGGTTGGGGTGGGTTTTTGCTCTCTGCTCTGACGGTGGAAGCCGGTGGAGAAAACCTGCTGTGTTTTTTCTCAGCTTGGTGTTTGTAGAGCCGCTGTGGACTGTTGCTAGTGTTTAGCTAATGTTAGCAGGTTTTGTTCAACCTCTCAGTCTGGTCTTCTCAGATTTTAAACCTCATCATTCTCACAGAACCATTGTGATGTACATTTTTGAGCAGGTTAGATCTAAAATGAACTTCAAACTGAAAAATGTCATTGAACACCTTGAGGGGGGTTAGCTCCGTAGAAAGAAGCAATTAGCATAAAGAGAGTCTCATTTAAACTGACGTTCAATCTGTAGGAATTCCGCCAACTTAAACACAATCTTTACAAATACTTTTAAAGTAAACAAATACTTTTGTTCCCTAAAGGATGTCCTTAGATATCTTTGTTTGCACCCACGATGCATCTGTGTTTGTGGCTGCATGGATCAGAGACATGTGTCCGAGATACCAGGAGATTTTAAATGTATTTATTATTGTTAAAACCTGAAATACATCTGATCTTGAAAGGTTCCGATAAATCCAACCATTATTTAGAGACACAGTAAAAAAAAGCAAGTTCCAATGTTTGAAGTTAGTGTTTTTTTGTTCTTAAAAGAATACTTATTTCCAAAATAATTGTAATCCCTTTAAAACCAATGTAAACTAAGTTTTTATATAATAATACTTTACTTTTTACACGATATAAACTTTCAGTTAGTTATGCATGACCATCTGTTTCTCTGTGGTATAAATAAGACATGACACCAAGGCCTGTTTTTTAAAAACAATGGTCACAAGATTTGACAACAACTCCCAATTATGTTGCCACAGAAATGGTAGGAGAGGTAAAATATCCAAAGCTGACTGTTAGACAATTCCCTCAAAGCACTTTAATTGGAACCTTGTGCTTTAGTCAGCTAGATAAACTTGAGCTTGTTGGGAGAAAACAATCCTGGAGGTTATGGTGGAAAACAAAACATAAACAGCCTCAGGTGAGTCCATCTGACCTGTTGTCTTTCAAAGGCATCAGAAACCTTGAAGAAATGTATTAGATAATTATTCTTAATACCTGAAAATAAAAAAATATCCAGATCGGTAAAAATATGCTTATATAGAGACAAATTTAGCCTCCTAAAGAAAAGAAAAGTCAACTGCAGTAAACCACAATGCAATAAAATAAACTTTAATCCCTTTTAAATAACAAAACAACCTCTTAAAGTGGAATTATTTTAAGTTTAACGGCTTTTTTTTTACTAACTGTGTACCAAAATTCTATATAAGTGGGGAAATTGTGGTGTTTATGACAGCAAAGGTTATAGTAGAATTGGTCTCACAATGTGCACCTTTGAAAAGTGCATAAAAATAACAGATGGGAAAATAAAACATATAGAGTCTTACACTGTACACTTTTTTGCAATATAATACTCTATATCTGGAGAATAAAAAAATCAATAAGAGCTTTTTTACAGTAATGGATATGTGAAAAATAGCAGCAGCATCAGAGAGGTGCAATGACAGCAGCATATTATTTAACTGACTAAGACAGGATCTGTGCAAAAATCAGCATAAATTGAACATCTTATTGAGGTTGTTAATAAACAGTGATGATTATAAAGTCTTAGAGCTGTTGGGAGGAAGGATTTGTGATAACGCTACCTGGTGCATTTAGGGTGCATTTATGTGTTATACCTCTCCAAATTGGTAGTCTATTCAGTTCAACATTAGTTTAATGAGAAGGTCAAAAACTCCCCCTCTTTCTTGCTCTGAATGTTAAAATATTTCAGAACTGAATTCTTTTGTTACAAAGTAATAATAGAAGGGGTTAAAATAATTGTGGCACTGGTGACTTTAATATAAAAAATGTCTTACAGTGGTTGTTTTTTCACCACTTAAAGAATGTATTTCAAAAATGCTTTAAGAAAAGATTAAGCTTTTCTAAGGACATTTTGGCTCGGTGTTGTTTTCTCTACATTTATTATCCAGCATTTTATAAGTGAAGATACCAAGACATAGTGAAGGGTGTGCTGTACATTTTTCACGTGGTCACATTTGACAGCAGAGTCATGGTTGAGTGCTGGGAAATATTTAGTATGTACTTATACTTAAACTTTGACAAACTTGTCATTGTTCTGAGTTGAGCGTGCACCAACTGGCTCATAACTCCCAAACATGACTGACAGCTGGAGCCGTGGGAGGTGTGATGTTTGACGCTCTCTGTATCTACCTGTGTTCTTAATCTCTTCTTGCATTATTACAGCAGAAAAAAAACAACATTTCCTTGTTTTCACATCTTTGCTGTATTCTCAGCCAAATCCCCACATATCCAGAAGGCCATCACACCCAAAACGTGCGGTGATGTACGATGACACTTGAGCTGTCAACCCTCTTGTGTCCTTTTGTGCTGGAGTGCCCAGGTAAATGACCCCACGGAGGAAATGGCTGATAATGCAAACAGATAAGGCTTCTGGTACCTGTTGACCACAGTCAGAACCTCCTACATCAGGTCTTTCTGACACGTCTCTCCATCTGCGACTGCCTCAGTGACACCCACAAGGCATTGAGCCCTTATCTGCTGTGGCCCCTGCTTTAGCATTCACGCCATTCATGCGAACAATGCTACCTCTTCCCGCTCATTGGATCTGTGACTGACAGTGGGTGTTGGTGCACTTGTGTCTGACTTCAGCCTCTATCTGACACCGGGCTGTTTGTCCAGTCTCGATACCCCCTCCAAGACACAATAAAGGGCGTGACACTTCCCTTGATGTTTTTCCAACTGGACCTTAATAATGGAGCTTGCTCTCCACTCTGCACATCGGTTTCCTCCTTAGGAGGACTTGCATTAGACGGGGGAGGGTCGGGGCAGAAGGGCTGACTAATGGTTAGTTCACCACCCACAGACGAGCCAGCAGAAGGGGAAATGCCATCATGTTCAGTCAGTAAAATGCATGAAAGCTACAGATAAGGCAGCTCCTATTTATAAACTATAGATAAATGAAAATTTGAAGTCTAATGGGATCCAGAGATTGGGCTGTGATTTGGACGGCATTCTGGCCTATATGTACCAGAGAATAGTTGGTTTGATTGTCACTGTCAGAATAAAGTATATGGTCAGAGTAATGATTTATGGCGTTTTGTAGTAAAATAAACATGTAAAACACGATCTAAGATCTTAGGATAAAACAAACCCTGTGCTGCTTTTAAAATATGGAGAAATGAGTGAAGGAATGGATTGATTTGGAATTGCTGATCCTTTGCTCCTCACAGACAGAAACCTCTTTCCCACTGAAAATACCGGGTTTCCGCGTGTTTTTCAATCATGGGTCGACACGTTAAAAATTGGCATTTGGCTCCCATTAGCATAAAAAGCCGGGTCTAAAGGCTGATTTATATTCAGAAACCAGTTTCTCTGCGTGTGTGTTGCAGTGAATGTAATTGTGCCCCCACCCCTTCCGCAGACACTCTGGTTCACCTCTCCTAAATTGTAGGACAGTGTCACAGACAGGAGGACTATGATTGGTCAAATCTACGCCCGTTCTACACTATCGGTATTTCCTTTTTAGTACCTTACCAGCTTGTTTGTATGACTCGTGAAGATAGAAGAGCGAGGTGCGCGAGAACGCTGGGACCCTTTTTCCACCTGGATCCCCAGTTTTTTTCGCCCTCATGTCCCTCTGGTGTGGCACAAACTTGCCCCGACTTCCTCACTGCCTCGGCCTTATCTAGACCCACAGCTAGTTCCTAATTGTGCCTCTTGCCTTGTGGTGTGGAATAACATAGCTCTGACCACGCTTCAATATTGGGCATAAATCAAAAATCACTCTTTTATTTGTCTGAATCCCTCTTACCAGCACTGCCCTATGTTTATTAAATGTAAGCAGAGTTGTATCAGCCAATGGTGTCACGTAAATTAGCGGGTCAGCCCGGTCCTGGTGTTCCCACAGCATGCCGATAAGAGCTGTGGTGATTTTAACGCTGGTCGCTTGCTGAGTCGACTGACCCGGGTAGACGCTCGTCAGTGAGCTGTTCCCACTGCCACTAAAAGCAAATTATTTTCGGGTATAAACTGGTTTTTCAGCCAGTGGGAAGCGGGGGTGGGCAATTCTAGTTCCTGAGGGCCGTTATCCTGAAGCTTTTAGATTTGTCCCTGGTCAAACACACCTGAATCCAATGGCTTAATTACCTTCTCAGGGTGCAGTTAGTTTCTGCAGTCCTCTTAATTATCTAATTACATAATTCAGGCGTGTTGGACCAAGGACACCTCTAAAACCTGCATGATAGCGGCCCTCAGGAACTGCTATTGCCCACCCTAGTGGAAACTCCAGCACTTTCTCTGGCTTCAGTTGAACTTCTTTAAGCAGTGCATCACCAAGTTTTAACATAGCTTTTAGCTAGCAAACCAACCCATGCCAATCTAGTGCATCTGATCCATGTATTGGATCTGGTTTTCATCCTGCTGCTCACATCTCATCTTCATATTCTTGGGATCCTCCATCTTGGCTCCCATGAAGCAGGTGTATTATACAGCTCCTATATTACACTCTATGAGCACCCCACCCCTCCCTTTTCTGCTCTAATTTATGAATGGCACAATTTTACAAAGGATGCACCTCAGGTGGGTAGCTACTGATCACATGATACTCTGTATGAAGCCAGGAATGTGGACAAGAATCCCTCCCTCACCTCTACAACTTTGATGCACAATATCATAACCAATCCACCTCTCAAGCCTACTGACACACGCTGGGATGAAGATGGGGGGGGCAGCAGTCTTGGGGGCATGAGGGGGTACAGATAGTGGCTGTTTGATCTGAAGGTCGCCAGCCCCCTCGATGGTGTTGAGAGATCCTTGGCGGATGAGGCTGGCTCTTATTTAATAACATGAAGGGGAAGCGGACCTTTCTCTCATAATTAGGCCTAATTACCTTCTAGGTGTGGACAGACGGCCCAAGAAGAGACAAACTGCCTTTATCCACAGACTTAGAGTCAGATTACCCCGAGCTGTCTTATCTGTTTGGAGCCTCGGTGCTCCTCACTGCCTTCTTCTTGCCGGCTCCTGTATCCAGCTCCCCTATATTAACCAGTCAGCCTGATTTATTACAGCCTGCTCTCCTGTTTAATTATACGTCTTCATTAATCTTCTCTGTGAGTCGCAGAACTTTTCATGTGAGCCGGTCCAGGAAGCAGAGTGGGCGACGCAGACCTATGCAGTACATGTGGGAAGGATCTGGTCGGCCGTTTGTTAAAAAAAAATCATAACAAAAACTCTTGTCTTTCACAGCTGAATGGGGAACATATACGTACATCACTGAGATTTTATTACAAATAGTTTGTCAAACATTGGCTGGGATGTTTGCTCGCCTCCGTCTGTTGGTGAGGAACGCTTTAGGGGTCCATACCAGTGGGTTTGAGTGACATCTCAGCGGCGGTTTGTTTGTTTACGGTATCTGTGTCTCTTTTCCTGAGCTGCCTGCATGTTTGTGTTTGGGTTTGTGGGGGACTCACTCGCAGCCACAACAACAGGAGCCATTGTTGGGGGCAGTTTCAGAGACTGGAAATGGCTGACGCCTGGACCAGAGTGGCAGCACTCCCAGGAGGAGCCTGCTGCGGGGGAAAAGTGACAAACATACTTATATTTTGGTTTGATTCCAGAGCAGCGGTTCTGAAACTCCATGTAACAAGTAGAACCTCAGGAAAAACAAGGTTTTCTAATTACCACCATACTTACATAGGAAGTACCCATGTAAGCATAGAGAGGTAGTTGCTTTAGCACCCAGGGGCTCATTTATTAAGGTGTTATTATGCAGAATCAAAAATATTTATTTATTTCTGAATAAATAACTGTATTTCTAATTTTCTGATTTATTTCTGCATAATAATAGCGAAAAAGAAAATTAACTAAGCATTTCTAAAACTCTTTTCACAAGATAAACCTTTTCTCTAATCAACTAAACAACTGATGTGAACGTGCCAACTCTCCTTCTAATGAATTTTATCGGTTGTCAGTAGGTGAAATACAGAAAAAATAACAAGAAATCTAATTCTTTAAATGCATAAACACTAAAAACTTCTGTTTTCTCTCTAAAAATTCCCTCAAAGAAGAAGTTTGAGTTAACAGAGTTTAATAAACACATAAATATCATAATTTATTCATGTTCTAATGCTTTTAAAATCTCTTACCCAGTCAATCGACCTGCAGGACATTCTTTTCTTATTTGCTATGATCCTAAGAATAAAATAGTGGAGCTCCCGGTTTCACTGTGAGTTTGCAGTTTTCCTCATTGACTTTTTGTTTATTAACTGAAGATTTTTTACTGCTTATTCGCATCACACCTAATCATTTCCCATTTCTTTAGACCAGTGAGGTTGGCAGCTTCCTTCCACACAAGCTGCAGCAGATTTTAGCTGTTTCCCTGCTGCTGAAGCTGAATTATTTTAACATTCTGCTAATTTTCATTCATTTTTATCTCCAGATTGTTTAAGTACTGAAACACCTAAAAGTTGCAAAACGATTGGAGATGTCCACCCCAGCCTTAGTTAAGAGACGTAACACAGTTTAACCCCATTGGTCTTTTAGCTTTTGTCAACCTGGTCTTCGTCACTTGTGGGAAAGTTGGTTTTGAATGACAGCTGGATATGACTGCTGCTGGAAAGTTTAGCAGCTTGTGGTCTTTAGACGGTGAGAGGAGCCAGTTTTGGGCTGCTGTATCCATGACTCAGAGCTTCATGGAGCTTTCTGCAGGAGGACAATGAAGGATGCTTAATCCACCTGTTATCAGGATGAGCCTCATGCCCAGGAATGCAGTCTTCTCCACCTTTCACAGGAGCAGAGGCTTAACAAATAACCGCTTACAGCAACCGCCATCTTATTTTTTAACCTATTCTTTCATAAAACCAAAAAACAAAGCTATACAGTTATTGTTTTCTTTATATAGACATATAAATAAAAGGTATTCTCAGATCAAACCTTTTCAAACCTGTTCTTTTCTTTTACTTTGAAGTTTTATCTGCTGATTTCCATCTTTAAAAAAAACAGAAACACCTAGAAACCTTTAATTCAGTGATTTAAAAGTATCAAACATTAAGCATAAAATAAGAATTATCTGCTGCTAACTATTGTGTAAATATTTTCAGTCAGAGAGAAGAGGAAGAGATTGAGGGGAGGGTCAGTATTTCCCCCCTCTGATTAATACCATTTTTTTTGTTTTTTTTTTGTATTGGTTAGTTTGGTTAGTTGTAATTTCTCCTAATTAATAGAAACTTTAAATATCTCATGTGATCATATATCTTTTGTGCAGATATTTGTTTTGGGTCTCTAAAATAAAAAAAAAAGAATGAAGGTCTGCATTGTTTATTTATAGGAGTTCTTCTGAAGCAAGTGGCTGTGTCCTTGTGACTGCCATCCTTTAGGCTTAATTAGGCAGGCTGGTCAGGGGTCTCTGTCTCTCTGCTTTTCAGGTTTACATGGACAATTTAACCACTAACCTCTTGAAATGAGCTGCTTCTGAATGCCTCAGGCTCCAGTTTCAGTCTCTGCTTATTGCAGGGAGTGAGGGGTTATGGGGAGTACAGATAGACCAGTATGGAGGGAGTTTGGTTCCATTTTTGTGGAAGACGATGTTAATTTCAACTTTGTAAATTAAAATTTAAAAGAAAATGGCTATCTGGGAATCAAACTTAAAAAACACCTTAATTAAAAAAAGGTTTTGAAATAAACTTTGTTGTTTTTTACAGTTGTTTTTACAACGTAATATTTTCAAATTATTTTTTTTAGCGAAAGTTTTACAAAATGTATTATTTTCAAACTGTTTTACAGACAGTAAACGTCTCTTTACTTCAAGCCCAATGGTTTGTTCTCGACCAATAAAAATGTTGTTGCTAAAATTCATGCAGACCAATAGAAATGCATCTTCACTCCTCCATAGGAAAGCCCGCCCCCAGAATGTAACCTGTAATTTTACAGATTATAGATACAGATTTATACATATATATATATATATATATATATATATATATATATATATATATATATATATATATATATATATATATATATATATATATATATATATATATATATGTATATATGTATAAAAAAATAAACATATTATATGTAAAAATATAAAGTCTGGGAAAACAAATTGATTAAATATATAAAAAAAAAAATAAATCTGTGTACAATCTCTAACCTTTTCAATTAAAAGTTTAAAAAATAATTCACAAAAGGATTCTTTTTTTTTTTTTTCAACAACAATGGAACAAAAGTCCCCCCATAGCCCAGGAAGCGGATATAACCTGATGTTAAGCTGCTGTATACACCTTAATGCTAGATCAAGGTTTTTGTGAATCTTGCAGAAATTTTCAGATTATTAATCCCTCTCTAATTTTGCTCCAACAGAATTTCCCTGAGCTGTGTTAACTCTGTTGATATGTTGCAGAATTTATCGAGGGGTAATTAGATGTTAAATATGTAAAGATGAAGGTGTTGGTGCAACACCTTCATTTTACATTAGATTTAAGCAGGAATCCGTAGGAATCTGTTGCATGTGAAGATGCTGGAGTCACATGTAAGGGCCTTGTTTCCTCCCTGCATGCCTATGGTTGGTTTGGTTTCCTCACCTGCTCAGCCGACGGACAGCATAAAAGTCTGAGATGTTACCTTTGCCTCTGGGACAACGGCTGCTGATCGCGAGCCCGATCCCTGTCTGTTTACTGTAATTAGTGTGTCACAAGTTTTGATTTATTATGCAGTGAGTAAGAGAGGTGTTATCACAGGAACTAAAGAGCAGGGAGGGTTGGTGGTTGTAGCTACAGAGTAAAGAGGAAATGAAGACAGTGCGCCGCTGTGTTGAACTAAAAGCTTGAAGGCAAAAGGGACCCAGACTGCCTCTGTTCAGTTTGTGCAACAGCCAGATTTTTAGAGATGTTTGTTGATGAAACTATTCAGCTAAATTTAACGTTGATTTGGGCTTCTGTTAGTGGGCGTTAGGGCTGTGCAATTAATTGCATCTGCATTATAATCGCAATTTAGATAAACGCAATTTTCAAACTGCAGAGGCCTTCGATCTTTAGGCAAAATACATTTAAGAAGAGTAACGCACTAATTTTCTCATTCCAGACCTGTAGGTGGCAGTAATGCAATTAAAGTGGGTATGCTGTTGCACAGAAGGGAACAGAGGGTTGAAGCTAGCAAATAGATCATTACAGTAGGAGTAATTACTTTTTTCATGCAAAGGTTTCAGTAAAGTCCTGCAGCACTGGTTTCTGGACAAGCAGACTTTCAAGGCCGTGATAAAACTGAACATCCTCATGGCTTAGTGCAAAGGAAAATCGCAAGAAAGTTATTAGTTGAAAATAATCGCAATTTGGATATTTGGCAAAAATGTTCGGCCCTAGTAGGCAGCAAACTAAACCTCATCATTTAATATCTTTTTCACACTCATACAGATTTTTGGTACAAAACATATTTCAGCCACAAAGTATCATTTTTTTATTGGAACCAAATGTAATTTTATCTTGCAGCTCATATAACTGTGATGGTCCTCAGCTTCTTTGCATTCACACGCCGACCTCCTGATTGACCCATGTCCCGTCCTGCCCCATCTCCAGTTTATACTCTGAGAGGGGCCAGCGCTCCTCTGAACAGCCTCCACTTTAGATGTCCTGGAGGGGAAACCCCCTTGCTGTTTTCTGGGTGAGTCTTTCTTTCACATACATCTGATAAGTTATCTATGTAGCTGTAGCTCAGTAAAACTCAGGAATCTCAGCATTTGCTGAGCGAAAGCTGACTTCTGCTCTAGGCCATAGAAAACTGATGACAGTGAAGGTGAATGATACATTTAATATTGCATCAAACACAGCTGTCATTTTTTTTCACTTAAAGAAACATATCAATTGTGTTTAACCTTTTTGAAATTAAATTGATCTAATGTTTCTTTTACATCCAAGGTTTTGTAAAAATGCAAAAATAAAGACTCTTGGATGATTTTTGCAGGTCAGCAAAAGGCACCATTCACATCTGGAACCTGAACAGCAGGAGGGCGGAGCGGGTAGTAGAGGGTCATAGTGGTCAGTCGATCCTGTGGCTCAGCACACTGCGATCCGGAGATGCTCTCATCAGGTGGGTCTCTCTTAGTGGTTTCTAAAGATCCGTTACCATTAGGGCAGCTGTGCCCTGCAACAAAAACAGGCATTCACCTTTTATAGTGTTTTATTGGCGCCTTTTGATGTAATAACAACTATGAGAAACACAAGGACGTGGAAACAAAGACAAACTTAGGATCGTTTTAATGTTGACACAGTGAAGGATAAATTCCGCCTGTGGCATTTAATGAGGCATTTTGCCTGATCAGCAACTATTAAGGGAAAGAAAACAGACGTTTTTTTTCCACTTCAAGTCAGTTAAGTGGTTTTAAGACAGCAAAAGATAAATCAACATTAAAACTCAACCGTTCCACAAACCGAGGAGGAATAGTAATGGGCACAGGCCTTTTGGCTCTGGGTGAAGATGTGTCCGACGCCTTTACAGTTACAAAAGCGTGGGAAGGAATATAGAGCATAAACGAAAATACTTTTATCACATTCAAAAATGTTTTTTTAAATTTTTTTATCACATGTATGATCAGGCTGTGCATTAATATTTGAAGCCCCTCCCAGCTGGTTATCGTCAATATATTTCATTACCAACCATTATTAATTAAGGAGTCTCAGCTTTTTCCAAGCTTATCATAACCAAACAATCTTAATATGACAAAAAAACAAAAGGAATTGTCTGTTAGCTTCATACAGATGAACAGCCTGTAGCTCCCGTTAATAACTGTTGTGTTTAGCCGCTTATGTCATCAGCAGCAGGCTTTTGTTCTCCTTTTATATTTTCCAAGACTCATTTTTGTTTTTAGAAACAGAATTAACTGTGTTCCTTCCTCTAAATACTTCCAGTAGTGTGTCTCTGAATTACATGTTGCCCACTGGTAACCTTTAGCCTTTTATTAACTGTTTCTTTTTTTAACTAAATTTCCATATCCACTATGACACTCTATAGGAACTGATTCATAAGAGGGGATACCAATACTGACATATGAACTAAATATGTTTTCCAGTTTTTTTTTAGTATTTGTCATTTTCAGGTCTATAAATTGAAGATCGATCAATCCATGTTTTTTAAAGCCGATTATTTTGACATCAGTCTAAAGGCAATTTTATTGACAGGCTGATTCTTCTGACCAATACTGCTTTTTAATCCATTATTTACATGATGAATATAAGAAAACCATAACAGTTGTTACACCAGTCTTAATAAAAAACAAACAAAGCAAAAAACATTTATTTATGCACATATCGCCGCCTTCAAGAAAAAATGCAAATGTCGACTGGACGATGTATCAGTCTATCTCTACTATAAAAGAAGATGTGATGAACAACAGTCTAGCTCACTGATAAGCCTCCAGAGGGCACCTCCTGTGGTACTTGAGGGGGTCTGACCTAGTTCCTATAGATAGATAGATAGATAGATAGATAGATAGATAGATAGATAGATAGATAGATAGATAGATAGATAGATAGATATGGGTTTATTTAGCAAAGCTCTACTATTGGCACCATTCCATGCTTCTTGAATCTCTTAGATGAGAATTTAGGCAGACTATATGTGGATGGGTCCGCATGGTTGTAACCTTCTTTCTTTCTTGTCCTCTCTCTGTTGGACTAAGCAGTCAGGGACGTGACATGCAGATCTGCCTGTGGGACCTGAAAGAAGGCCGCAGTGAGGCGGTGGACTCTGTGTGGACGGGCAGCGTTGGATTCTGTCAATGTTCACTGCTGGAAACCAGCCCGTCAAACTACCTGCTGGCCTTTGCTGGCCAGGAGACTGAAGAGGTAAGACATCAGCCTAAAAAGGGTTTTCTGAAAGTTTAAGGCAATTTTTTTTCACTTGCCTCCCCATCAGGGCATTCTGGGATGAGCTTTTAATACTTACAACAAGATAGAGCCTTCAGATCACAACACAAATATAAGTGAATGAACTGAAATTTCCTGAAAACTAGAATAACAGCCTAGCACAATAATGATCCAACAGCACATATTATTGTAGGTTCAGTCATTAACTTTCAGAAAGATTTGGTGTTGTTGTTTTATCTATTCATAAATCAGTTATATTTTTATTTGTACATGTATTTAAGGTACAAAGTCCTAGAGGAATGACTTCTGACAATTTTAGGGATGTATTTAGATTTTTTGCACCATGGGGAAAATGTATCTTTTAACTTTATTTGAATTTCTTTTTTCAGTTTTTTAAAAAGCCACATTGCCATTGAATTCATAGGAAAGGAGTGTTGTACTCGAAGAATAACATCAGAGGGACACTTTATGCCTGTTAGCTTATTTACATGACACATTTTCAGTCCAAATGGTCTTTTTACCAGTTACTGATTATTAAGCCATATTGATGCAGCATTAAGACCAGGCCTGTTGTACATCTGCATTAAAAATTAATGTATGCAATAATTTCCCGAAATGAGCATTTTCTTGCTAAATTGTCACTCCATCTACATCTCACCGCTTAAAACGAGACTAGTCCTTCTGTTTTAAATGTGCTATTGCAGTGGTTTCCGACCTTTATGCTGTTCCATTCCTCCCAAGACCCTGATTTTAATCAGGAAATAAAATCATTAAAATAATATGCTGAAGATTTTTTTTATTATTGACAAAAAATAAAGCCTGAATTAAAGCAAAATTGATGATTACACCAAGCATGGTGATGGCAGCATCATGCTTAGGGTCTGCTTCACTAAAAGGGGAAGTGTTCTTTAGTTCCCTCAAATCAACAGCTTGTTTGTTGAATTATGGACACATTCTTCCCAAGCACACCTTAATCCTGGTGTTGGAGCAGCTGTAATCATCCTGAACTCTTTTCTGTTAACCTCTAACTGCTCCCCAAGGGGATGGGTCAAAATGCAGAGAGTGAATTTCCCCATTGTAGGACAATAAAGGGATTTACATAACACTAATGACATCAACTCTTTGAACAACGATTTAAAGCCTCATCTTTGCCAGGAAACCAACCAATTTTAATTAACTCTACCAATTCCTTTAAGTAGTTTAATCAAATATCAATGGAATTATGCAAGAAGCTTTTTGATTTTTACCAGGTGTTTGTAGTTTCTCTGAAGCTTGATAAGTGATTTTGGTCTAGTTGTATTTTTTAGGGGGGAGGGGAGAATGCATGTACATATTTCAGCCTAAATATAACATTTTGACCATATGTGGATTGGAGAAAATCCACAACTTCTTGCCGGCAATGTAAACATAATATTTTAGAACAGAAACTGTCAAACAATAATCAGAATGTTTTCCTTGCTGAACCGCTGAGGAAGAATTAAATTTGGACCAATCAACTAAATACGTGTCAGTTTGGGTCACGGTTGGTAGCTTTCCTTTTATTGAAGGCTGTACGTCTAAAGCACCTGATTGGCCTCAGTGAGCCGATGGAAGTACGCTGAATTGTGCCTTTCAAGAGGAAATCCATGATGCTTGATGAAATAATCTAGGCGGCTGTTTATACTTTAAATCATTGGCTGCTGGCTATGAAGAAAAGGAACTATTACCCACGCTCGGAATGAAATCACACTTTCTAGTGAATTCACAACACCCACTAGCTTGTATGGTTTTGTGTGGAGCCAGTGTCTTAGAGGTGAGACTAGTTGGGGAGAAGGCAGCCAGCTATTCAGCCATCTTTTATTGCCTCCAGATTCATGTTACGCTCTTCACTTGCAGAGGAGCCGCACTTGAAAGGGACGGAGCGGTCACCTGATCCAGTCAAACGTGCCTCCGCTAACCCCGGTCCAGCGAGCCAGGCACCAGGGCGCCTGTGACTCCCAGCACCTCAATAATGCCATTGTCCCATCAGACACAGACAGAGAGGCAAACCTATGTCGGCATAAAAGGCAGACCAAAACGGACTGTGGCCCTTTTTTTGTCGTTTGGCATCTCCACCCCATTCCACAGGCATAACAGGCCAAGACAGATGCTTATCATGCATGTGCAAGTAAAACACCCTCATTAACAAATTTTCTCAGAAACAATGCACAGGCTCATGCCACAGAGCACGCACAATGGTGTGATTTAGCCAAAAAAAAAAGCCCAAAAAAAACAGGTCAGTATTTGGATATATGACAAGAAAACAGACAAAACGTTCCTACTGAGGTGGTTTTTCTGTTTATTGCTCACAGCAGGATTCCTGCCAGCAGATAACTGCTGTGTCAGAAGCATTAATTAATAGCGTGGGCGTTTTATTTATGGGGCAGTTCGATGCCACACAGGAACAGAGATCACCTGAGGCGCAGAGGAGCCTTAAAAGCTCCCTTTGTCAGGCACGCAGAGGTAAACATACAGGACAGATGTGGCTTAGTGATAAAATACAGATCACTCCCTTAAAGGGCTGTTTAATGTGAAGCCTAATGAGGATGAATATGCCAATCATCAGCCGGGAGGAAGCCAACAGAGTTAGTTTTGGTCCTAATGTGGGTACAAATGCAAGCACTTCATCACTGGATCCATTAGTTGTAGTTTTATTAGATGTTGGTTCCAATGTGTGCAGGAAAACACAGCTCATGTCGCAGGGCCTGGCTTTGGTGGGATGGATTATAGACAGCGTGGCAGCCAGTCTGTACTAGCTGATGGCGGACTGATCCGCTGAAGAAAAAAACTTAATGACATGATTCTGGTTACAGCCGGCAGCCGGGTTATGACTTGGCAGGCAGATTGTAAACAGATATCGTACCCACAGGTCTGCTTCCTCCTAGTACGTAACCCAGTCATGAAGACAGATTCATTAAGACAAACATAGAAAAATAATTGGAACTTAATTAAGAAAAAGACAGCGCATTAAGAAAGTATTAATACTCCTTAAACTTTGCCAAATTTTGTCACACCACAAACTTAAATAACCATTTGTTTTTTAAATAGATTTATGTAATAAGCTAACATAAAAACTCAAAAACTTTTTTCTATTCTATTTTTATGTACAAGTAAAAATAACAATTGCTATATATTTAAATTCGAACCCCCTCTCATTTTGATAGGCTATGGAGTGATTTATTTTCCATTATTGTTGCGTAGAACATGTTTTTTGATAATTTAAAAGAACAAGAAAATCTAATCAAAAGAAAATGAGAATGTAATACTGCAGGAATTATTTTATTTTATTTTTTTGTTTTAATTTTTACAACAAATTTTTACAGATTTTGTATATTCATTTTTTTTTTTTTTAAATCTCCTTTTTAGAGTTTTACAGATTTCATTTTTTTCTAACTGCTTTTCACAAAATCCCTTCCTTTCTATTGGGCTGCATGGATGTTAGCACCAATGTTTGTATCAGGCTTGAAGTGAAGAGTCTGATCTGTGAAAAAGAATTTGAAAATAATGCAGCTATAAATCTGAAAAACAGAAATTTGAATAATTAAGATATAAAAAAAAATCTGATAATAAAATCAAAACAAAGAAACCACTGTAAAGTCAAAACTGCATTTTAATGTTCATGTTCAGCCGCAATTAGTCCACCATGAGCCATGTAGGGGCAACCCAAACAGGTGCAACAAGTTGTAGGAAAGCGACACACCATCTTGGTACAACATGGTGGTTTTAGCATCATGTTGTTGAATGTGATCAGAGGAGATTCATACAGAGCAACACAGAATAAAACCAGAGGAAAAAAATACAGGTGTAAAGGTTCAACCTTCTGAGGGAATACAACTCAGGGTCTACAGAGAGAGCTTGGAATGGCCCAGTCAAATTCCTGACCTGAAACTAACCAAAGATCTGAAGTAAAAGTATGAAATCTGTCTTTACTAATGCTCTCTATCCAATCTACTAAAAGCTATTATGCAATGAAGAACGTATGAAGAGAATGTCTTTCTCTAGGTGATGGTAGAAATTATTCAAGGATGCTAAACGCAAGTTCACAACACAAAGAAAATTCAAATAATCCCTCCACTTTACAGTTATGCCAATAAAGTACAACAGATTTTATGGATCTAACTTAGTGAAAGTGAAAAACATCAACTTTAAGCAATATGAATAGACAACAAGTCCCGTACAGATAAAGGCTATAGATTATAAGGCTGGATCAGGCAAAGACGTCTTTTGTACATTTTAACGTCTTTAGAAATACAAAATGATTCTAGGGTTAATTCCCACTGAAAGGTCTCATCTGTCTCCCCAGATCCAGATCACTGAGATGCCCAGTAAGAAGCCAGTCTGCACACTGATGCCAGACACTAAGCTGGGGATGGTCATGTGCCTGCAGCTGTGGAAGGTGAGTTTTCTGAACCCGTTCATCGCTACGCTGTTCCTGTTTTCTTCCGGTTACTGTACGCCGCACGACAAGATGCAGAAACAGACAAATCGACAGAAGTGCACACACAGGAGACATGGTGGGGATTTATGGCCCAGCGACTCGTCTCGGGCCATTTTTCCATGCGATGTTTCTCAGCTGGCAGCCAGCCCCAACACTGTAATTAGAGCGTTTGGGAAGGCCGTGGGTTCACAGCCATATATCAGCCTGCAGCTGTATATCCAATCTGATCTGGGCAAAAAGTTAGCTCTCTTTCTGTTTTGTAGATGCTGTCAAATGTTTTGTTTTCCTCTCATTATTATGACCCTATAATTATTTACACGCTTAATAATTAAAGTTTCAGTGTTTTGGGACTGTGGTTGGAGACTGCCTGCTTTGTGTACGTTTTATGAACTTTTTAAGTTTACAAACAACAGAAATAAAAATCCTGCTCATCATGTTGAAACTACGTCTCGGGAAGCTGTCGGTCCTGCTCGTTTTCAATCCAGCCACTATTAAAATAAGACCCAACAGGTGGCAGTCTGTTCCAGAGCGTGTAGACAAGTCTGTTTCCAAAACTTTCTTCGTTTTGCTTTGCTTTCAACCACTCTGCCTACTTTTTGTTTTCTGATTTATGAACCGATTCTTCCTCCGCGCTGAGTGCCAAGAAACCAAATGATCAACTACAGCTTTATAAATTATATAACAGCAGTGTAATACAGCAGAGACAGCTGTGTGACTTCAAAGCTTAAAGGGATCAGGCCATAGTAAATCACCTGAGCAGCGGCCTGCTGCTCCTTTACGCTTATCGAGAAGCACAGGGTCCGAGCTCCGGGAAAAGGCCCAAAACATAGATTTATTATTGTATACAAATCCCTCCTTCTCTGCCTAACTCACTCATTTTATCAGTCAAAAGAAAGAAAAATCTCCCCACATCAAATGTTTACATGCTGCCCACTGCTTCCTTCAACCCACGAAGCTGGAGGAAGCCACCTGTGTCTCTCACATACATTCCAGGAAGGCCCCGCCCATTCTCTCCTTCATCCTTCTCATCATCACTCAGTTCCCACTGTATAGGCAAGAAGCGATGGTCCTCTTTTCCACTAAAACAACAGACTGAGCAAAGGATTTACTGTCAGCCTTCACGACCTCTGTGATGCAGTGCAGTTATACAGATGTTCTGTTTCACTTCATCGTCTCCTAAAGAGTAAGTCCTATTTTAGTGCTGGACATTTTTCTGGACATTTTTCACACCCCTTGACTTCTGTCACATATTATTATCTTGTGGTGCCAAATCCTAATAACAATTAAAAAAAAGCATTTTATTTCCCTTTGGGATCAATAGAGCACTTTTGAATCTGAAACGAATAATTGTTTTTTCTTTTTTATAATGTAAAATTTTATTGTGTCAAAAAATTTTAAGTTTAACTTAATTGATTTGAGGAAAATAAAAACATCAAATTAAGTACACTTAACTGTTTTTTTTTTTTGTAAAGGTTACAGGGTAGAAGGATTTAATTGTGAATCTTTTCTACACTCAGGTGTCTTAAAAAAAAAAAAAAACGTATCTAAAATGTATTGATTGTCCTCTTAGGCACCGAACCACACCAACTAAAGTGGTATAATACTAAAAACACCACTTATCACCATTGGGTATTATAATAATACAATATTAGCATATAATTTATTTCATCACAACCATACGACATTAACATTGTACATTCAACAACCTATTACCCAAAAAATTTAAACAGTCCCAATTAAATCACTCATGATGTTGCAGTGCTATCCGAGCCTATTGCTAACTAGTCGGCCTGTGGGGTCTTACTTTTCAAATCTACACAGGTATTTTTAAATTAGGCCTAATTAATACACAAATAATCCAGGTTAAATGTAGACAAAAAACACTGACTCAACAAATCTCAGTTACTGTAGCAGAAATGTTACAAAATAATGAGTTTTAAGTTCGCCGTCTAATTCAATACTTACTACATTTGGATTTCAGTGAGCCATATAAAACCTGAAAGGTGCTTCTTTACACAGTAGATCTTCTTAACAGCTTTCCACATGACTCAGACTATTATCATATATTACTATTCTGCTGAATATTTCAGGTGAGTCTGAGTATATACAGAGATTCCTAGTTTATATTGGACTTTGACTAGGACGTGTCTCTTCTCCAACACGCCTGATTCAATGATTGCATTTCTGACTTCCTTGCTAATTGGCTTATTAATCGTCTCCTCTTTCCAGCAAAGTGTGTTGCTTGCTTAGGGTTGTTCTGAGCCTCCACTCCAGTCTTAAGCCTTTTACAATTTATCTACTGTAGAAGAGCATCCCCATAGCATGATACTGCCACCACTTTGTTTCACTCTGAGGATATTACATCTAAAGAAATAAACAATATGTCTAAATTTTATACACAGCGCCTTGTATGTAGGCCAGAAACCTGATTATTAAACGGGTCACTTTAGCTGATATTTCTAAAACATTTTAGGTCTCCAATTTTTACTATTTTACCTCAAATTTTCTGGTTTCAGAATACAGGAGGCTAAATATATTTACGCCTCAGACTTTTTAGTTCTAAAAAGATAAAAAAACATGCGTTATTGCCAGTCCACTTTAGAGTTATGCACTAAAGCTAATTAAGTTCTGATCTGTTAAATAAAAGCCCAACAAATGTCAGTCTTTGATTACAACAAAATGGGAAGGAGATAAAGTTTTCGATTGATTTAATTCCATAATATTAGAATATTCTATGTCTGTCTGATCGGCTCTGATGTGGATTATCAGACCAGTAAGGATCAAGTTGGCTTTGATGAAGAGAACAATCGAAAGTGGCTCCACATGTGGGTTTGACTTGTGCGAGGATGTTGGGCTTGGCCGCAGGGACGCTGGTGATATACGACGTGCAAGGCCTCTCGTGTGCACAGAGGCTGGCTGGGAAAAAAGGAAATGTTCCTTTACATATCCATCACTCTGAGCTCATCACCTAGCTGCCTCATGGCCATCACATCATGGCAGGATGGGACGGCGACCACAGGACACGATTGGTTCCTTATGTTGAAGCCTGAGGCCTGTGCTGGGACATCAGCAACAGTCTGCTGGTCTTCATGCATTCTACTGAAGGAGATTACCTTCATGTAAACATACTCTTATTGGATGTGGAATGAAAAAACTTGTCTATTCAGTTTTTGAATTTGCTTAGATCCCTCCTCTTTTCAAAAAAATGTTTATTAGGATAAAACTTGTTATACATTTTATATATATCTCCAACCAGCTTTTTATTTTCTAGGTAATTAAACCTCAAACATCAAGATTCAACATTGATTTTGTTTGTGGCTTTAATCATTAACTAAAAGTAAAAGCTGAGAAGCATAAAATATAGAGAGGAAAAGTACAGGAAAGTTTTTTTGTAATTAAAAATGCTATTATTCTCTACTTAGATCATCTTATAGAAACATTTTTCAATTATGGTTAGCACAAAACGACACCTAACCCACCATAGAAGACAGGTCGGTACAACATGGTACAACACTAGGCGTCTGAGCAAATGGGAGGATTAACTGGCAAGCCTATACATTTATAAACTGTTTGATGATCGCCTTTACTGTACAAGACATTTCAAGCATTTACTCCCAATGTAGTGTATGTAGCTGTAAAGCTCTGTGTTTCAGGAAAGCAGATTATGAAATCATGCATTAATTCAGTTTGCAAAACAATAGTGTGACAGATGTGAAGTCGCAACTTATTGACTTAACTTTGAAGACTCCTTTAACTTAAACAAGTCTTATCAAATTATACTGCTTGTATATCTAATCAATACGAGTGTAAGAACAAATCGATTCCATCAAGTATCGCAATATTTCAGTGGACAATATTGGACAAAAATATGTCTGATCTCAAAAGTAAACTATAGCAAACATCCATTTCATTGTCTTACTTTTATATAACTATTAAACTTCTAGCGACTAGTTGGCCAAGAGTCTATTATTTAGCTGCTCTGCACCAGCCACATGGGAGCAACAGTAAGATCTTATGAGGTTTTCCAGAGTTATATAATAATAGAAATCATGACATGAATATATCTGGATAGATAGTAACGTTAAATGTATATTTTGATATGAATTGCAAAATTCTTGCCAATTTACACCCCTACTAATGAACTGAAAAAAAAGCGAGTGATCAGAACTAAGATGAATAAGAGGGAATTTTAGACTGTAAAAGACTTAAAAGTAATTAATATAACAAGTCTGACCCTGTTAGAACCAGGAGCAAATCCTTTCCAAGGAGAGAACTGCTTATTTCTCCAGGCCAATTCACTCAGAGAAAAAGATTTTTAAGATCTTTAAATTGTCCAAACTTAGGAGACTCACACATGATGATAAATAACAGGGATAGAACAATTTTGGTCGTATAGTGTGTTCTCTTTAGCCACACCACTACCGCGGCACATCACACCATCTGATGCTGAAGCTCTGGACGCACATCAAGGAAAGAGTCTATAGATGGTTTCCATGTATAATGGCAGGTGCAATCCAGAGTGACTTGGCATTATTGTCTATAATTAGTGGGGGGAAAGCAGTTTTTAGACATTTTTAAGCGAGAAAGTTGATCTTAAAGGCATACTATGCAACATTTTTCAGTTAATTAATGTGTTCCATGACGTTTTGGATGATTAAATGAGTCATTTCAGGTCGAACAAAGGTTTTCTCGGCCGCCCTGGTGGTCTGTAGGGGAAATACCGTACTTGCAATTGCAGGAGCCCTTGGCCCGCACCTACAGGCTCAGAAGTCTCGTGCATCGCGAGAGTCGGTCTTGCTTTACGGCGAGAACTGCTACACACCCCCAGTGAAAGGCATGCTCGTTGCTAGCGCAGTGGCGATAATTGTGCAGTTATCATGGCGGAACCAGCGAGAAAACAGCGAAAGCCCATGTCGGAGCAGGCAAGAAAGAGGAAAAGGGCTCTCTACCGCAGTTGACATGGTGATTCGTTGCGTTCGCCTGTCTGCTAAGCTCAAAACAACCGCGCCTGGCTTGACGGAGAAACCAGGAAAACAGCTGAGCATATTTACGACAGTGCACTTTTACTTTCGCCCTCTGGGGGGAGCCTCGCTGGAAAATCAACACCGGTTGCATAGTGTACCTTTAAAACATCATCCATGCAGTCAATTCATCAACATGATGATCGTACCTTTGAATATTCTGTAGTGACAGACAGCTTCTAAGCCGGCCAATCGCAGCCCCAGCTGTTCGAAGTAGCTGGAGGTGAATATAAAATGTTTTGTAGGTGGTAAAAACTGCTAGTACCAAAAGTTTTTACATTTTTGCATCTGTACTGGAATTGAATTGAAGAGTATGTGATCTGTGAAACACAATTTTGAGAAAAATGCAATTCGGAAAGCTCAACTGAAAAACCAAAAGAAAAAGAAAAAAATTCAAAAAAATAAAATCTATCAAAATTTTCTTCTTAATTTGAAAAAAGGAAATACAAAATCTAAAATAAAAAAAGTACATAAAATTTGAAGAAAAAATCAGAATAAACATAAACAATATTTTTATGAAAAAATGACATTAAAAAATCTAATCAAATAACTTAAACATAAAAAATTCTTTTGAAAAAATAATTGAGAAAACTAATTATTCTTAAAACCTTTATCCGATTAAAGTGTTTCTAATTTTTTTCAGATATCAATAAACAATGACGTGACAGCATTCACTCCTTATTGCAAAAAGCCCCAACAAATTACAGAAGCAAAATGTTTTTCTAAAGTAGTAAAAACAAAAATCTAACTGAAAACTGGACTGTTAGGCTTCCAAGAGTCTGACACTAACTCTGAAAAGGCTACAGGTTTTCCAGTCAGGTGCTGGTCGTGCTCCATATGTCTCATCATTCACCTGAGTTCTCCATGGTCTAAGGATTCCAAAAAAGAAACCCTTTTTCTTTCAAAGAAAACATCTAAGCCTGGCTAAAGTCTCCTGAAATCTTCTGGAAAAATCCATGATGGTCTGAAGAACCCAGACCTAAACGTCTGGGCCGCATTTTTAAAGGTTGTATTTGGACCACAAAGCGCTTCACATCATAGCAATAGTGAAACACGGTGGTTTCTGTAAATACAGATGAAATAATGATTAGTTGCATATACAAAGACATTTTAACCTAAACCGTAAGGTCTCTGCTCAAAAGCTTAAGATGAGGACTGTATTGAAAAAAGAATAACATAACCAGAAGGGTCAACATGACTGATGGGGTCACCTGAAGAGAACGGATGACAGGAGATGCCCCCATAGTCTGATAGATTTAAAGACTGGTTAGAACAATGTAAAGAAAGAAAAACAATGAGTTGTTTGTAGATTTGTAAGCGCCAGAGTACGTTTGAATCAGCAACTGAAGATTTACCAAATAAAAAATATCTTTCATATCATATATTCACTGCAAAATCAATATATAAATAAGTAAAAAAATAATCTTAAATTAAGTGCATTTAACCTTAATTTAAGTAGGTAAATAAGACGATTTGCCAATAGAGTGCATATTTTACTCTTTAAATAAAAATAATTAGAAAATATGCACTTGAAATAAGACAATGCAATTGTTTTTTTGTTTTTTGTTTTTAAATGTAAATTGTTTTGTTCCATTGGCAAAGTGTCTCACTTGCCTCCTCAATTCAAGAAAAAATTCACTCATTTTAAGAAAAAAATACTTATTTAGATAAAAGTTTCTGCAGTTATGTTATTTATGTTAACAGATATTATATAAAAGTCCAGTAGAAGGTTAGTCATTTTTAAAAAAGTTTAAATGAATGTTTAACTTTGGAGTTTGAAGCCATGAACCATGAAGCCTTGGCTGATGGTCACAGCAGCGTTTCCTCCTCTGGTCCTTCTCTCTGGGCAGTTTCCAGTCGTCTGTCTTTGCAGCTGTTCCTCTGTGATGAATCTCCACCCAATGCCCTAGCCCCACTCCAGCAGAGAGCCCTCTTGTAGAAAGGCCTGTGGAGGATATAATGAATTAGGTGTCTACCCAGGGTTCCCCGACCTCCGACCCATGACATCATCAATCAAGGAGGTCCTTCGCTTAAGTGAAACGCTGGGCCCCAATCTGGAACGCTTAGCCTGGTCCCTGCCGGCAAGCAGGGGGCCACTGATTTTCACTTGTTTTTATTTGTTTTCATAATCCCTCCGTGTTCGTCCTCGCTGATGTGTTTGGAAGGAGTACACGACTCTGTCTATAATTTGTTTCAAGCTGGAAGAAGAGAAATATGGAGCGTTAACAGAGGAGAGGACTTGAACGTGGATGAAAAATGGCTGACGCGGTCTGTGTGCACATATGGAAAAAATTTCTTTCCCTCCTGGCTTCTGCATGGCACTGAGCTTTTTTTTTTTTATGTCTGGTGTTATTTTAAAACAAAAGGTAGAGTCGGCACTACGCTGATTATCTGTGCCTATTCCTAGATGGTCTGAAGTCTAAATCGAGTGCTTATCTTTGTTTAGTCCAGACCATTGCCGACCAGGTATGTAGTTGTTGGGGTGATCCTTCAACTGAAAATAAGACATTATGTTTTTTAATATATTTCTTTATAGAAATTGACATCTGAAGAAAATGCAGCTGTTATGAACCCCAAACAATCCAGTCTGCCCTAACTCTTTAGTATGTTGAAATGTTACCAGAATTTCCCTTTCAATAAGAATACATGTTATCTACATACTGCTTCTTTGCATATATTGTATCTAAATTTTTGTATATTCCTTTAAAATGTTGACATCTTGTTCCAAGAACCACAAATAACTGGACCAATACTGGGATTTTATGTCATAGAATGAAGCAAAATGAAAACTATTTATAATAAGAATCTGAATCTTATCTTAAAAACTTTGACGACACCATTTTAATGCATAAATATAGTTCAAGCTAAAAGGTGAAAATCTGCTCCAGAATCATCCTTTTTTCCTGTCCTTATTGCTTTGTATTTAAGTATTCTGTCCATCCACCTTCCCATCAACCAATCAGATTCCTTATCCACTTTTAGATAAAGCATCCCCGCAGCATGATGCTGCCACCGTCATGTTATATGGTGGGGTTGTTGTGTTTGCAGGTTATTGTTTTTTGGTGAAACATAATCGCAGACACCTTTTTTTCAGAGGTTTAAAGAAATAAATACCATCCCAGCTTTATTTATAAAGCAAACAAGACTCGACAAAGTAAAAACACTCATATGATACCATTAAACCCATACTAAAATCAAAAAACCTGAAATAGATAAAGCAGCTCCATAATGACATATTAGATCAATTATAGAATTGATTAAATTAATTAAATGGAAAGAAATGGTATGTAAAATGAATGAAAAGATGTATCAATTTTTAGAAAACATAATTTTTGCTAATATGTACTGTGTTTACATTGTTTTATGACCTAAATTCCTAGTGAAAAATTAGGACATTGGACAAGTGGACATGGATCTACTGGGAAAAAATATTATTCGGATGTTTTTATCTCAGTTATTATTATCTCTTAGTTATTATAGGCATATCTGGTAAATATGGAATTAAAATGCTTTTTGGGGTTGTTGTGACTTTTAGACAAAAATTCATCTTAATATACCTCAATGTATTAATATATTAAAAAAAAAAATAAAAAAAGCTAATTATTTGCATATTGATAGACGAAGAAAGCAAGCAGTAGGTGATACTGATGCAGAATAAAACCCTTGTTGCGCCGCAGAGAGCATCAGGCTGATGAATGGAGGCCACAGCTTCTCGGAGTGTCAGCTGGAGCTTCCAGCCTGATAACCTCTGCTCCTCTCAGCTCCCAGCAACACGCAGCGCTCTCTGTGGATTTCTGAATGCCATGTGCTCATCTCCTATCTTAACTCATGCTGCTATTCTTCCTTCCCTGCTGTCCCTCCTCCTCTCTCCTATTACCCCCCCCCCCCCTTGCAGCCAGATTCAGGTCTTGGACCTCTCCTGTTTGCTGGATATGAGGATGGTTCAATGTTGCTATGGGACGTAACCCAAAGGTCCGAACTGAGCCGTGTCAAAGCCCACCCCGAGCCCGTCATGTGCCTGACCTTTGACCCCAGGCTTCGGAGGGGCGTATCAGGCTCCTGTGAGAAGAAGCTCTCGTCGTGGATGGTGGACAGCCAGAACAACATACAGGTTAGGGGGCTCAGCGCTTCTCCAGCTGATTCTGACATGTTTGTTTTTAGGTTACAACTCTGGGGAGCCTAAAAATGTCCACTCCAGTATCCAGTCCCCTTGTCTCTCACTTCTGTTTAAAGTAAAGCAGTTCCCAGTGATACTTATTTTTAATTTTGTCGACCATTCACAGTTTTCTGAACCTTCAACTTTTAGTCCTAAAACCTTAATTTACTTTTTTTAATAAATAGCATCAGTTTGCCAAAGAGTGATTTATTAATAACTTCTATTCAGTTATCTGTTGCAATGATTTCTTTGCTGCCTTTTAAAATGTGAAAAAGTTAAGTTAGGACATTTGAATCCTGTTGTCAAAATTTTTTATTCTGGTTTCTAATTATGTCACGAAATTAGAGAAGCAAACACAAACGACCAACAAATGTGAAAATTCTGAAGGAAATATCCAGTCTTTTTCACATCTATGAATATATCTTACAGAATGCCACCAGTTTGGAAGAACAGACGATCTCTGTCCTTTGTTACCTTGGGAAGAAAACTAGAGATGCACCGATCGGTTGTTGATATCAGTTCAGATATCAAAGAAAATTCTAGATGTAGTATTGGTAATATGGAACTGATCCATAAGGGGAGATGAATTCAGTCTATTTCTATGATGAATTTAAGTTTGGTAAAGTCTCTTAAACAGGAGGAAACTATATCATTGTAATATTAATTCTAACCCTTACAGTTGATATTTGTTGCTTATAAGGATGGAATTTGTCCTGTTAACACGGTTTACTGTTTTTATGACTTCCTTTTCTGACTTTATTCTAAACTCAAGTTGCCTTTTGGATTTTATACATGTGTACATTGATAAAGCCCCTTAAAACAACCAACAGTAATGATGATAGCATTAAAGCAAACATAGCTCAGGCATTGGAAAAGTAATGGCAGGTATCTAAATCCAAGTATCGATCAGAAGTAATAAGTGGTGGATCGGTGCATTCATAAAAAAATTGTAATTTAGCAAGTTTTTGTTTTAATAAATGTTTAGAAATAAGAGATGTGTGCAATGAAACTGTATTTTGCTGAAAGAGATTTGGAGAGAGCAACATTTCCAGCACATAACAGGAAGGTTGTTGTATTCTTTTGAGCTTCCAGACTCTACATGTTATTATTGTATTTATTTTTTGTAAATCTTAGTCATGAATTAGGGATGCCTTTGTGGTAATGCTACCTGTGCTAACTGCACTAACTGGTTAAAATGTAAAGTAATATTTAAAAATATTAGTTTGATAAAGTTTTACAGCAAATGTCTCACACACACAATATGACATCACTGTGGCTCCTAACATGAATAATCAATGACGGCTCAAAGGGGTAGAGCTGAGCTGCCTTACCTGCTAACTGATTGTTACACAACGGTCGTCTGAATCCCATGGAGTGGAATAAATGGTACCAGAGGAGAGCAAAGTGTTGGCTTTCGCCCGACTTGCTTGGAAAACATCAGGGGCCAAAGAGGAAGAAGCTCAGCGGGGCTCCAGGGGCCATAAATCAGCTGCTGGTTACACAGTGTTGGCAGGGCTAGGGGCCAAGGGCCAGACTGAGTCTGTCACTCCATAGTCAAGCCACCCACAGACACACTGAAAGACAATGGAGCTGGTTTATAGATCCAAAAACAACAGTAATTATAGGAATGAAACATTTATTTTTAATACTTCTTATAGTGATAAAAATGAAGATTTAGATAATTCCTGGGAGATAATAAAGTATTAAAGCTGGAACTAAACAATTTGAACACTTGAGCTGCGGCACTCACAGTTTCTCTCATAAACATGTATTTTACCAGTGCTCCAGTTTATACTCCAGAGCCCCTGCCACACTCAGAGAGATCACATCAGCTTTCATACCATAATTCATTTTACATAACAGCCCACGCTTCAGAGACTTTATGCCTCATTTGAAGCTGTATTTTCTCTTGATTTCATGAGCAAATAGGAATGCTTCTATTTTTCAGTCAAGCCCCATGAATCAAAGCCAAGAGGAACCTTAGGCTGATATAGTGGACTCCTGCTCAGCGAAGGCGTATTATTCTTTCCGAGGCTTTTTACAAATGAACGCTCGAATTAGAAATATTTGCAGAGCTCCGTTTTCTCACCCTGAATATGTGTCTGCACAAACACCGCGAAGGATTTCAGTCAGTATACCATAAACAGGAGGCGAACAGTTATTGGGTTTATTTTGCTGAAGCAACAAAATATTGATTCAGCGTGTAATCCAGGATGAGGATGACAGGGGAAAAGCACATGGAAGAGGGAAAGGATTCAGTTGGGGCTTTTAAATTACTCCGAAGTGCAGCTCAGTGTGACGTCCAGACAGCTATCCTCGGTGCTTCCCACAGAAGGATTTTTGTGTGGCCCGACTAAGGAGGCCGGGATGGGGGTCCTGCCGGGTGGCAGGTTCGGGCCATAGGTTCTGACGGACGACCTGCGAGAGGTAATAAAAATATCAAAACCTTAGAGGCCCCTAAGCCAAACAAAAAACACATCTGCAGTAAGGGGAACAGTAGTTCACAGTGGGAAGCTGCAATAAAGACTGAGGAGACTGTAAGTGCCACAGCATCTCACTTCCCACAAATTATCCCCACATTACGGCTCAGAGTACAGTGGAACCGCCGAGCAGGGCAGATGGATGGTGTTGGTGAAATCCAGGGGAAGCTGAATTTGACACAAAACAGCCCAGTTATGATTTAATGAAGCTGAAAGTCTATGAAGTGAGCTTATCTGGGCCAGATAAAGACAGATAGGCAGAGGAATGGAGGTTAATGTGTTGCACATGGCTCCCAGAGGCCTTTATCTGCTGTGTGACCCTGCTGGCCTCAGATTGTTTCATAGTAATGAAGCATCATCTCCAGCCCTGTTTCGTCTCTACCATGCGCTGTTGGGAACGTGTCAGAGTGATTAAAATACGCAGTATATTAATAAACAGACAATCCTTGTGGTGCTCACTGTTAAAGCCATTTAACTCACATTGAAAAATTGAACAATTAATTCTTTACAGTTGTAGGCTTATTCTGAGGAAAGAAACAAAAAAGCCAAAGGTCAAAATATTTTTGTGTTTATTTAAGCTTTACTTTTGCTTTCAATTTTATCAGCATGTGAAGAATCCTTTTATTAGGAATATAAAACGTCCTGTTTCCTTGGGGTCAGTTGTAAATGTTTAATGTGACACAGAGGCACATTTCATTAATGTTGATGGTTTCATCACCTGCAAATCAGATTTTTTTCACGTTAAAACTGTTAAAAATCTAAGGTGTGAAAGTGGTTTGGTTTTTCTCTTGAGGCTCTTTGTAAAAACCAGAAAAGCCAGAACAGGCTTGTTCTTCACAAAGCACGATTTTGGTCCTCTGCTTGGATTTAGGTAATGCCTGGAAGGGTGCTAACATTAGCCTACCTCGCTATCATCATCTCTGTTTCCTAAACCAAAATAAGTGATTCAACTATCAGGCACTCACCTGCAGGCAGTCACCAAGTTTAGCTGCTTGTTTAGCAATTTTCCCCACAGTGTACCAGACTGTGACAAAATGCTAAACAAACCACGGCAACTGCTAATGTTGCTAACGCTACATCCACATGAACACACATATAGACAAGTCAAATTCTTGTGTGTATCCTCACGTGAAAAAAAATGGGTGTGAAAAGGGGTCTGAATGAGCTTTCTCTTCTCCTGAATGTGGTTAAACATTAATTTAAAGGCAATTTCAAAAGATTTGAGGTAAAATACTATCTTAGGAACACTGGGAAATCCATAAGCTCACTGAGGCTGGTTCTGCTGGAGGTTTCTTCCTGTTTAAAGGGAGTTTTTCCTCTCCACTGTTGCTACAAGCATGCTAAGTGTGAGGGATTGCCTTCGAGTCAATGAGTCGATGCAATCAGCTGGTTTTCTTTAGATAGAAAACTTTGAATCAATTTGACTGTATGATCTGGTTGAACTGTAAAGTGCCTTGAGATGACATATGTTGTGAATTGGAGCCATATAAATAAACTGAATTGAACTGAATAAGAACATGCCGTTCTAGAGAGGTTAATGTCTTGGTTTTCCACAACCAATAGCCACCAGCTCATATCTAAATGCAGAAGATAAATCGGCTTTATGAAGCTTTTTGTTCTCCTGTGCCCATCAGGGGAAAAATTGCATGAAAGACACCCTTCAGAAACGTACTGTTCCATGTGAGGGTGAAATTATGCCATGATGGAGCAGTGCTAGCCATTTAGATGTATGATGTGGACTTATTCATGTTTTTGTCTTTATGTAAATCTGTGACATTGGGAATTTCTGTCTCTTCTTTTTATTCTTCATTATAGATCCATGTGTTTCTGTAAAAAAAAGCTGACTTATCACATTGTATGCAATCATTTAAAAGCATAACAAACTCAAACTATTAGAGTAAGGAGGTTAGTTAAAATTAAAAATAAAAACCTACAATAAATCATCAGTGTAGAGCAGCAGTAAATATTGAAAGCAACTAAACCTCCATCACCATTTGTTTTAAGGCTCTGTCACACATCTTGACCAGGTCTTCTAGTTAGACTCTGACCTCTTGTAACCCCTAGACAAGTCAAAAAAAGCCTAAAAATATATTTTTATGAAAGCATTTGCATTATTTCTCGGCTGCATTGACAAGTGCTGTGATGTGTTTGCTCAGGAGAAAGAAAAAGCAAGAAGCTGCTGCCTGCAGCAAGATTTGCAGAGTAAATCAAGCATGGCTGACAGCAAGCTCAAGTTGATGACAGTTCTGCACAGGAAGTCCTCCTCCTCCATCTTTTAATGGGACAGTAAAAGTCTTCCCACCCAGAGGTCACCTTGACAGTTTCTCTAAGTAGAAATTGTTGTCCTGATCTCTTCCTCCTTACTTCTGCTTTGTTACATACACAACAAAGAGTCTTAACAGCGACCTTCTCTCCCAATGCTTCCTCTCGTCTCCTCTGGTCACCCGTTTGTATCCTGTCAGCCAGAGCTGAGCTCAGAACCGACAGGGTGACAAAAGGCTGTAATCTCCTCTCTGCTGTGTGGGATTCAGGGATAGGGTGTGTCAGGAATACCTGTGAAAAAAAGCTTCCCGGCCGCTAGGCTCGAGTGAGTGAGCGATGACGGGATGTTTCAGTAGATCAGCGTTAACAACAAGACTTGTGCCAAGACCGGGGGAGAAAAGTGGAGCGAACCTTGATTGAAACCTGCCTGAGTGGAGGCTTCCTTTCAACATTTGCTGAGTCAGATGAAATGGGACAAAAGAGGATCCTGATGTGGTGTCAGAACAGACGCAGACCCATAGAAGGTGTTGTGGAGCCAGCTGTTAGGCTAAAGTGGTTGGCCTCCTGAAATCTGGGGAAAGCTGACATTTGGACAGACCTGCAGCATGCGTGTCTGTATCTTGTAACACACATCATATGGGTTATTATAGTGTTAGAAAAAGGAAAAAAGAGAAAGTAAGATATGATACAAGCAGGAAGAACAAAAACGTCCCCATTACAACTAAACGCTCTGATGGATTTAGATCGGGTTATTAGCTGCATTTAAAGTCAGCTCAACTTCTTTAATAGTCAATCAGCTGTGCTGAGCTCTAGTAGCAAATCACAAAGAAAATAAAACATTTTGACGCTAAAATAGAAAAAAAAATTTATTTATATCAATAGTTGGCTAAAAAGCAAACTGTCTGGAGTCAATCAGTGGTTTTGTTAATGTGAATAAACAGATAATAAAACAATCAGAACCCTGTGAGCTACGAAGATTTAACTGTTACCAAGAGGAACGACCAAAAGCAGAGACACAAACAGCTGGATTTGAATATTCAGATACTAATAAAAACTTCTGACTGATGTCTGTCTAGCTTTTAGAAAAGCTGTTGGTTGCTCTCTTGGCGAGGTCTTATCTATTCTATTCTATTCTATTCTGTCACCACTCACAGTGGCAGCTTTTATCTGGTGACATGAAGATCTAATTCAAAAACAAAACAGTTGATTGTGTTACCTAAAAACTAAGCTCTGTGAAATCTAATAAAATATTATATTAAAATGGATTTCCCGAGAGATTAAATAAAAAATAAAAGATTCCAAAACATAGGAATTACCAAGATGGTTTGTTGATAAGCAGATATACAGGCTTTTCTTGACCACTACTTTAATTCAGATGATTTAAATCTCCCCTCATTATTTTTATGTTTGTAGAAGAAATTATTGTTCTGCTGTTTTTTATAACCTTCTTACTAAACGTAGCCTTTTTCTACAGGTCAAAGTGTTGTAAACTTTCTAATCATTGTTTTATTTGTTATTATTACATTAAGGCGAGTTCCTGGAAGGTTTATTTAATCAGTACTTTACTCTGCGGATAAACACACACCTGCTTTTACTTAAAGGACATCTTCCCCTTTTTGAACAGAAACAAAAAAAACTTCACTGAAGTTATATTTCCACTCCAGGAAAGCAAGCTGTAAATGACCTATCAGTACATGCTTGCATCAGCTGTGTGAAATATCAAATAAAAAAGCCTTGGTTGCATTTATTGTAATAATTATGAAGTCATTATTGAAAAGCAATTCAGATGATTTTTTATTTTTTTTGCATCTGTTAGTTTGAGATTCTGCTCCTGCAGAAAAGATTAAGGCATTTATCTCACCTTTAAGGAATAGTACACCCAAAACATGATTAGCCTTCATTTTCTACTCACCCCCATGCTGAACAACACTCTGGAGTACTTTTTTGATATCTCACATGCATCTGGAGATCTGGGAGGCTTCTTGCTGTCTGCTGACATTCAAATAATGGAGGTCTATGGTGCCCGAGGCAGAAAGGTCCATAAAAGTCCACAAAAAACGTGTCAATATTCCTCCATACTGCTCGTCCAATGTATTCCAAGTGTCCTGAGTGGGTAGCGTCCATAATTTACTCGAAACGAAGTCATTTAGAATGTTTTTAGAGCATAAACAGTAGTGTATAGGATTTCCTAAAAGCGCGTTCACGAGTCTACGGAAACCGCGGCAGACCAAACCAGATGAAAGTGCGCATTCAGCGTCTGCTCTAGCGATAATGCAAGCGTAGAAGAAGAAATGTGCTGTTTACCTGTGCAAAGAAAGAAACAACGAAAGAAAAATGTCTGAGGACTTCAGTGTTGAGGAAGAGCATGAGTTCTTTGCCGAGCTGAATGCGCACTTTCATCTGGTTTGGTCTGCCGCAGTTTCCGTAGACTTGTTAACGCGCTTTTAGGAAATCCTATACACTACTGTTTATGCTCTAAAAACATTCTAAATGACTTTGTTTCAAGTAAATTATGGATGCTACCCACTCAGGACACTTGGAATACATTGGACGAGCAGTATGGAGGAATATTGACACGTTTTTTGTGGACTTTTATGGACCTTTCTGCCTCGGGCACCATAGACCTCCATTATTTGAATGTCAGCAGACAGCAAGAAGCCTCCCAGATCTCCAGATGCATTTGAGATATCAAAAAAGTACTCCAGAGTGTTGTTCAGCATGGGGGTGAGTAGAAAATGAAGGCTAATCATGTTTTGGGTGTACTATTCCTTTAACCTTTGGTATCGATAAATGTAAAAGCTGTGATATAAGCTAATTGTTATGAAATGTGAAAAAGCCCATAGGATTAATTAGACCTCATTCCACATTACTCTCTGTAACAAAATAGAGAAATGTTCAGAGTTTCTGTTCTTAGTTTTGCTTATGCTGGATAAACCATTTCATTTTTTAATACATTAATACTATCAGCAAACAACAGCCCACATGGATTTTCCACTAAATTATTTTCTTCTTTTTTTTATCAAGCAAGTGTTTCTTTGCTTATTGTAAAAACAAAAGAAGAATCAGAGGTTTGGATTTTTCTCAGCCGTTTATTTCAAACACAGTTTCTCCTAGAAAACCTTCAATGAATAGTGACACGGCAGCCCAGGGCTGTTTGCTGCCGCACACGGGCATCTTTCATTTAGAATAATGGCACAGGACGACCTTTCTTCCGTGTACCGTTGTTTTTTTCTCTCTCCGCTCTCTCTCTCTCTCTCGGGTAGAAAGTAAAAACAATTAACGAGCCGGCCTCGCTGACTGACCATTACTGCAATCATTAGCCGTTTACCGCCTGCAGTTGACCCTTAAATGAAACAAATGCCTTTTCCTGACACAAACTATGGGAAGCAAAACAAACAAAAACAGACACTTAAACCCATCATTATCAGGCCTCTAATGCACCCCAGATGGGGAGAGGTAGAGGCATACCACATACCTTAGGTAACAACAAAGCACCAAATAATCTTTAACTCTCTGCTTTTCTGTGGATATCTGGGTTTTTCTGTCTAAACGGGGTCACATGGTTTAACACTACTATCAGCAATGGCTTTATAACCTAAAAATAAAAATAAAACACAACCACTGACTGTTTTGAACTTAGCTATTTTTTATTTTTTTTATTTTCTTGATCAATGACATTCCTCTCTCTGTTCTCTCTCTCTCACTAACATTCCTCTTAATTCACTCTGGGCTCTGAGTACCTGGCTTATATCTTCCACATGCAGCTTGCGGATGGTTCCTGCCCAGAACAGAAGCATGCAGATATATTCTCCCAACATCCCCTCCCATCCAAGGCCCATTAGTCTCCCCAGACACAACTCATGAAGTCAATTTTACGCTGTCCAGTTTGATTTCTCCTACATCCAGATGTTTGCAGCCCATGTAGTGATCCGGCAGATATCCCCTCGCTGCAGAAAGAGCACGTTTCGCTCTGCAGGAATGCCCGCCGCAGCAAGCCCTTCAGATGGAGATCTGAGCCATTTATTATAATATGTCACAATGTTGCCCTTTTAGAGAGATTGATACAGTCCTTGGGATTGTAGATCACTGCAGGGGGGGTATATGGCTAATCTTTAGCAGGCAGACGCTACAGCGGTGTATTTATCAAGTCTTCAGCTGCTGACCAGACCTTTCAGTGCGAATGTAATTCATCAGAGATGCTCGAAGTAGCAGAGTCTCTGCAAACAAGTTTTTCAGCTAGAGGCCCCCTTTCTGTTTGCTGCTACACAGGTAACTCTCCCCCCACCATGCTAACTCCTAAGCAAATAATGGGACTCGCAGAGATTTACTCGAGGCTCTCGTGCCGTAATGTTTTATTGGCGATGATTGAGTCCTGGGAGTTTACGACATCCAGCCTCACACTTGGACCTCCATCATCGTATCAGCTGATAGCATCTCCTTGTGCGTGTTTTTGTTGGCCACACTTTCCTAGAGAGTGATTTAGTGACCTAATTTTTATCTTTCTTTGTTTATTTTTGTTCTTTTTTTTTACACTTTCTGCCATTTCATCCAGTTTGACTCGTAGGTTTATTTAGTTTTATTTTATTAGACAGAAATCAGAAGGAAACTACTTGTTGAATTAGTCTTAAAATATGTGAAAGTGCTTCTGATAAACCAGCAGTTTGTTAAAAACCGTTTGTCTGTGTGGTTTACAGCTGCAGGACAGCGTGGTGCTGGTCAACCCTGGCGTTTCTCAGCTCCGCATCAGGGATGATGGCCGGCTGCTGGCATCCGCAGGCTGGGACCACCGGGTGAGAGTATTCGGCTGGAAGAAGCTGCGACCACTGGCTGTCCTTCAGTACCACACAGACATGGTGCTTAGCGTGGCCTTCTCTGATCATCAGGACCCCAGGCAGAGACTGCTGGCTGCTGGATCCAAGGACCAGCGCATCAGCCTGTGGTCCATTTACAACGAGACGGCTGACAAAGCTCTGCAAGGATCTACAGACTGAAATCAAAACATCATCTCATCTGTTTCATAGCGAGCTAGTTTGACTCACCGCTTTACAATAAGGCTCCCCTTATGTTATTAATTAAATACTTTATACCTCACTCATAAGTGTTTATTAAGGGTGCAGAGCAGACAAAACTGACCAATGTGAACCTAAGCTGTTCAGCCATATATTTAATGTAGTTTTATGTATATTTAACATTTTAAAATAAGTTACCACCTTCTAAATAAAATAAACATTTTAAAAACATAAATTTTGAATGCATTATATGTTAAGAGCATAATAAACACTTATCAGTTGTAAAGTGTTCTCATATTATTTAATAACATATTTATAAACTATTTATTAGCCATCTAAAAGAAGAGCCTTATTGTAAAGCAGTATATAAACAAGTAATTATTGGCAGGTATCAGATTTGCATTTTATAGAAACTGGTTTCAAATTTACAAAACAAAACTTTATTTTGTTTTTCAAACAGTTTTACATGTTTGGGCATGTTTCAGCAACAAAAATGTCTACATTGTTGGACAATTATTTACATTTTTATGGCTTTACTAAATATTTTGAGTTATAAAATGTGGTTGTTTTCTAAGATGTTGTCACGTCATACTCTTATTTTGCTGGATTAACTAGTTGGGCTATTTGCTGCTGGTCGGCCTGTGATCTACTGACACCCTAATGAAAATGATGAGTGGCTTCCTTTTTTGCAATCATATCTGTCCATGTTGTTGTTATTGTTGAAATTTTCTTTTAACCTTATTTCAGTTCTCTGACTCAGATGTTAAGGAGTAGTGCTGTTAGTAAAGCTGCAGCTGCACCGGTCAGAAATGTAGAGATCAGGATTGGATCATTCTTCTTTTCTGTTTGGTAATAAACGGAACAAAGACTAAAACATTTCATTAAAAAAATCTAAATTAATGCATCAAAACAAAAGGTTCATCATATTTTTGAAAGAAATAAAATTTCATGTGTAAATGACCAAATCTAAGTTACTCTTTCATCTTCTGTTTCATACTTTACCTTTTTATTTTTGCAAACCCTTTTTCAACATATTTGTGTAACATTCTGTTGTTCATTTTAAAGCCAAAGAACTAAAGCCAATTTATTTTTGTTTTTGGGGTTCATATCAAAGAATAGTTTAGATTTGCAAGGTCAAAAACGTTTTATTAGCTGATAGAGTTACATTTTCTATATAAGATACAAAAATCAATAAAAAACACAAATATTTTACCCTAAAACCCTTAAGGGTTTAAAAGGAAAAACTATATTCTGCACCATTTCTTGGATTTTTGTTTTACGGAATAAAGAACTGCTACAACCACAGTCATTTTTCCTTCGTTTTTTAATCAGTACTCCGCTTTGAATAGACCAAAGTGCCACTTTGTTCAGACCTCTGGGTTCTCTGCTGAAGGGTCTGATTAAAAGCTGCACTGAGCTGTCTCGAGCTGTTAGACCAGCTGAAATGTTTTAATTAAGCAGCAGTTGAGCTCTTTATCCTCCTGTTTGCTAAAGCCTAACTTCAGGCTCTCCAGCTATGGCATTGTGTTTACTTATCAGACGGAAGCTTTGCTTCAGTGGACCTGAATTTGAGGTGTATGGCACACCTGAGCAGCTTTGTAATCCTGTGTTGTTATTCTTGCAGCATTTAGCTCAACCCCCACAAACCCACCCCATCCCTCCTTGACCTGGACTAAGTTAACCAAGACCAGGAGAAAGATAACTGAGGGCTGGTTTAGTGGATTTCCCCATTATTTGGTTGTGTTATAACATAGATGGTATCTACTTAGAAACTGGTTATCTAATGAACGTTGGTTGCTAGTAATAAATAAAACAGGATGAATAAATGGGGATCTGTCAGGTTTCCATAAAGGCTAGTCCAATATGAGCAGATTTAGGGCACCGCATGAAATAATATATTCAATGAGCAGCATGGGAGCATATATTTTAAAACACCCCACCATGAGACGAGGTCAGAGGCCAGAGCTTCAAACGGCCGACGTTCTGCTTCATAAATGGTTTTGTCTCTCGGGATGATCCGGAGTGGAGAAGCTCATCGCGTTGAACAGGAAAGGCCTGAGATATCAAAGAACCAGATGAGCCGAGTGGTGAGAAACCAGTAGGAAACAGAGGAAGGACGAGGTCATCTGCCAGATAAGCTGGTTTGCTACTGTTACAAAAACATCACATTTCAAAGTTGCTGCATTTTTTCTTTTCTTTTTTTTTATTTTACATTTCAAATGTTGTGTTGTTAGTAAAATTCTGTTCAGCAGAATTACTATCGTTGAAACACAAAACCTGATTTTTTGGAGATTTTGGGGGCTTGGGGCAAAGATTTAGTGGCTTGTTTCAATGCTCTGAGCAGGAGTTCATCTATACCTTTTGTCCCTGACCCCTGTGGTGACACCTTGCATTCACGATGGCTTCCTAAATACATGTTGGCTTTGAACAAACACTTGGGATGGTGTGGGCCAGCTTCCGTCCATTCTCTGATAAATCAAATGCTGGTCCAATGGTGCAGATGTGCTCTGAATGGAGACCCGTCGGCCTCAGAAGCGCCTGCTGCTGGGGTGCTGGCCGTAGACCTCGTAAATCACCTCATAATGGATCCTTTAGGAAGTCAATAAATGGACGGGGGACTCTCTGCACAATGGGGCTTGTGCTTCACTTATCACCTAACGTGTGTCTTTTCTGGCCTTTGAGGTTAAAGGTCAGTTTAGTTTTGGGATGGGACATAATCAGGTAGGTTCCATGGATCTATCTGCGTAAGCGCCTGTGTTTCTGTCCCATCATTCCATAAATCACTGCTTTTGGTATATAGTAATCCAAGTGATATAAAAAAATAATAACTTAACCTTATTTCTTGATCGGTGTCCGCCTGTTATGTTTACATTATAAGTTTGCATAGAGTATATTGCTGGAATGTCATCATTCTGCTGTTTGGATTAACTGAGTGTGCAACTGAGTGTGCAGCTGTTCAGAGGATCTCCATCTGAAGTTAAGTTATTTTCTCTGTGATATCTCTGTATCTAAGTAACTCTAACTGACTACTTTAAAACATAGCACCTTCTGCTGCACTTTTCTACTGAGCACTTGTCAGTTTCACACGGTTTTATTTCTGATAGCAAGGAGTAGCTAGCCTAGGCTAGCGCTAGCTTAGCATTGCTATGGCTTCTCTCTCTCCCTCCCTTGACTCTTTTTCAACTCTTCCTTCTTCCTCTCCTCTCTCCTGCTCTCTGTGTCAGATGTTCAGTTATTCCTCTGCCTCCTTTAGTGATAATGGGATGTGTAATAAGTGTAGTATTTTTGTAGCTTTGGAGGCGAGGGTGTCAGAGTTAGAATCCAGGCTTCAGGCTGTTGAAGTAGGCCCCCCACGTAGCTGTCCTCCAAAAGTGCCTGAGCAGCCAGGCGATTGGGTAACTGTACGCAGAAAGCGTAGTCGTGGATCTCTGCCCACTGGTCACCACCAACCCGTTCACGTTTCTAACCGGTTTTCCCCACTCAGTGACACACCCACTGAGAAGCCCACTCTGGTGATTGGCAGCTCCATAGTCAGAAACGTGGCATTAGAGACACCAGGGACCATAGTCAAATGTTTGCCGGGGGCCAGAACGGGCGACATCAAATCCTACCTGAAACTACTGGCTAAGGATAAGGTTAAATACAGTAAGATTGTTATTCACGCTGGTGGTAATGACACCCGGTTACGCCGATCGGAGGTCACTAAAATTAGTGTTGCTTCGGTGTGTAAGTTTGCCAAAAAAATGTCGGACTCCGTAATTTTCTCTGGTCCCCTCCCTGATCTGACCAGTGATGACATGTTTAGCCGCATGTCGTCATTCAATCGCTGGTTGTCTAGGTGGTGTCCTGAAAACAACGTGGGCTACATTAATAATTGGCAATCCTTTTGGGGAAAGCCTGGTCTGATTCGGAGAGACGGCATCCATCCCACTTTGGATGGTGCAGCTCTTCTTTCTAGGAATCTGGCCACATTTATTAGTCCTCCAAAACCCTGACCACCCAGGGTGCAGACCAGGAAGCAGAGTTGTAGTTTAACACACATCTCTGCAGCTTCTCTACTGTTACCCACTCTTTACTCCATCCAGACAGTGTCTTGCCCACGACCAAAATCTAATAAATTAGCAAAGATTCCCAAAGGAGTAAATCATGATAATCTAATTAAAATCAAAATAACTCCAATTGGGGAAAAAGTTAAAACAATTAAATGCGGTCTGTTTAACATAAGATCGCTTTCCTCTAAAAGTCTACTAGTTAATGACTTGTTTTGTGATAATCACATTGACTTGTTTTGCCTTACAGAAACCTGGCTGCAGCAAGAGGATTATGTGAGCATAAATGAGGCAACTCCTTCAAGCTATTTAAATTTTCACATCCCCAGAAGTTCTGGGCGAGGAGGAGGAGTAGCAACAATCTTCGAGTCTGACTTACTGATTACTCCCAAAACAATTAATTCCTACAACTCTTTTGAACATTTAACCCTTAATTTCACTGATCCAAATTTCAAGGCAAGAAAACCTCTTCTTTTTGTAACTTTGTATCGTCCACCAGGTCCTTACTCTGAATTTTTAGATGAGTTTTCAGAGTTCCTTTCTGATTTGGTATTAAATACTGACAGGGTCATCATAGTGGGAGATTTTAACATCCATGCTGACATTGAAGGCAATAGCTTTAGAGCAGCCTTTAATGCTATCTTAGACACTATTGGCTTTGTTCAAAATGTGAATAGTCCCACGCATTCTCATCTTCATACTTTGGATCTTGTGCTGACATACGGCATAGAATGTGAAGAAATAACAGTATTTCCTCACAACCCTGTCCTCTCTGACCACTTTCTAATAACCTTCAGGATTACTTTAACAGAGTTCTCCTCCCCCAAAAGAAGGTTCAATTTTAGTAGATCTTTATCAGATAGTGCAGTTATAAATTTTAAAGAATCTGCTTCACTTTCTCTCTGCTCTGTGTCACTGAGCAGTGCTGCAGAGTGCAAAAGCTTAGCTTATTCCCCTTCACAGGTTGATGATTTTGTTGAGGGGGTTGCTAGTTCTCTGCGTATTGCCTTAGACAACGCAGCTCCTTTGAAAATGAAAACCGTTAAAAATAGAAAGCTTGCTCCTTGGTTTAATGCAGAGCTGCGTACTTTGAAAAACAAAAATGTAGGAAAAAATGGAAGAGAAAATATCGCTCCCCAGGCCTGGGGAGGGGTCCTTCCCCGTCTGGAAAAAAAGGTTTTTGCTGTATAAGAGGACCCTTTTTAAAGGGGAAGGCAGCAAAACTTCTCCTCATTTTAAAAGAGGGAGAAGGAATAATCCTTAAAATTTTTTTTTTAATTTCAGTTGCCAAAAATAACCCCGAAGCCATAGCTCTGGGTTTAAACCCGGGCCATTCCCCCCCCGCCTTTAGGGAGCAATGATTTTATGGGATTCTTTATAAAATAAAATTGATTTTTATTAAAAATAAGTATTTAAACATCCTTTTATCCGCGATTGGGACCCGAGGTAAATCATGGAATCTGAAACCCGGGGTTTTGGGTTGCTTTGTTTCCCGTTTTAACTCTCTGAATTGCAAAAATTATTGTCTTCATTTTAAGCCCCTTCCCCAAAAATTTTATGTTAGATCCAGTTTTTCCAAACCCCCCGGTTATTTTTGGAGGTTTCCCCTTTTATCTCCTCTTTCCCTTTTAGGATGTGATTAATCTATCTTTTGGTTTTCAAAGGGGTATGTACCCAAAGCTTTTAAAAATTGCTGTAATTAAAACCTTTGGGTTTAAAAAACCCCTCTTTGACCCAGAGGGCTTTGGGCAATTTTTTAAACCCCCATATCCAAACTTCCCTTTTTTATCCCAAAAATTTTGGAAAAAAGTAGTTGCCCAAAAAAAGTTTGCCCATCATTCCACCCTAATGAACTTTTTGAAGGGGTTTTAGTTTTGGCCCTTTTGAAACTCAACCCTAGCACTGAAAAAAG